CGACGATTTTAGTATTATTACGTGGTACTTGGCAGTGTTTAACGATCAACAGGCAGAGCACACAAATCCTCTGCCGCCCGTGAATTATGCGAGTTTAACGCCATTGTACCGCTTCGCTGTAATTTGCAAGTAATGTGAGCCCATTGGTTAAATTTAAACAACCAACGCGGAAATTTCCAAATATTTATATAAGGACAACACGAGAGAAGAAACACGTGCACGCATATTTAGTACACCATACATGTATAGCTCGGTGGGCTCAATAATTAATAACGTTAATCTATGTAACATACCGTAATTGGTATAGAGTAGACGTATTTTTTTTTTTTTTTAATTTTGAAAACGAAAGCTCTTGTTTGTTAAGTGGTTTTGTCCATGAACATTTTTATCGCAGGAAACCACACTAATGTACCAAATTTTCATCTCAAGATTTTGGTGTTCCCCGATAATATAGGAAAACATTTTATTTGTTTAAACAATAACTTTAACGTTCGTCATATCTCTTTTGCGGTTAAGGGACCTCGCGACTGTGATAAAATCGACCTTAAATAGACCCTTGGCATTTCCGCCATCCTGTGTTCGCATGAAATCCAATTTCCATTCTTAAAAAAATTTCAAATTCCTCATCATCTTTTCTGTGGTTTGCAGTATCAGCTTTAAGCTGTTAATATTTTATAATAAGTTTAAACGATTTTTTTTACAAAAACTGTTTTATAATAAAAACAAATAAGTAGTTGTGGATATTAATTAAATGTTTCAATGACAGCCCGACTGGTTTTAATTGAAATGTGGACCCAAAGGTTTTCGATTGAAATGTATAGCGAATAATTACATTGGACTGCAATGCATGCCAGTATACGAGGTGTTGGAGATGTCAAGTGATGAGTCATATTATATTTGTTGAGTGTCACTTAATCGATATATCACACAATATTTTAATATTCGACTCTTGCCTCTTTTTCCTATACTTCTTATTTCGAATGTGACTTTGTTTATTTTGTTTCAATACGGTTTTATTCGTAGAGCATGTAATTGTTTTATAGTTATAATTTATTCCTATAAATTTGTATTATAAATTTAAGAAATTGAAGGTGTCCAGTGATTCATTCATTATAGACTTGTAGTGTATCTCGTACCACCTAACCGGAATCTGAATAACTTATAATTTGTAATAGGATATTTGTATATTTTGTCGTTATTCTTTAACGAAACTGCAATATTAATGAGTTACAGTGTTTATAGATTGAAATATTAATCATTATTATATTATCCATATAAAAATATTAATTTGATAATTTTAAAACTAATCCATGTCTTCAGTTTTTTTGTTGACGTTTCGGTCCATCATTAGAGCAATAGGTTATGTCAATTCTGTAGTGACAGTGGAACAAGGACTATCGCTCTGAAGATTCTGACTCGGCAATGCGTGCAAAATGTTAGAAAAAAACTGAAGACATGGCTACACCCGAAAAATGTCAATCTAATTCTACCTTATGCTATTTGTTTGCACAAATGTATATATACATTTAATGTATTAATTTTACAACGCAAACACGCATTAAGAGTAATTTTGGTTAAAATAAAAATTCTACAAAAATTAATAAAGGCCCAACTTGTACTACTTTATTTACATTTTTGGTACGACATTAGGAAGAAATATAGTTTTTACATAGGCGTGTCACAAAAATACATGGGACCTTTTCAAAATCAATAGATACACAATTTCGACTTCTTATACAAATACTACAATACTAGATTTTAATAACGGTTTCATGGAAATAATTTTACTTAAGTACAAATATTGAATGATGGACTTTTTAGAACCAATTCAAAAATAGTTTTTTTTCTAAATATTAGTACAGAGTTTGTGTATGCTATGATACCATTCCAAGAAATTCGTCACGAATGTCAATACAAATTCGAAACAACGGAGACTATTAAAATATTAAAAAATTAAGGAAAATCAGCTGACAAGGATTGTTATCATGATAATTATAAGACTAGATATTATTAATAAGGAGAGCGAATGAAAATATTGTAAAATAAGGAATAATACGAATAGTTATGGAATAAGGAAGACAAGATGATAAGACAAGAATAATTATCGATAAGAAGTCTAATATTTAAGGCTAGGCTTTATTTGGATAATGCTAACTATAGCAAATTCAATAAAGTTATTCCTGGCATGTACAGTTGATGTGCTTATGGTAATTCTTATCAGTTATGTTTAAAAATTATGTATAGCTTAACAACTCTAAAATTAAATATTATATTTAACTTAAAAAACGTCTCTAAGTAGTGCAATATTCAAAATATATTTGTTGGGCAATTTCTTGGAAATATCGACAACCCGGTTGGATTTCGTTCAATAGAAAAACAAACTTCTTTAAGGTACTTAAACTTAATACTTGTTTGAAATAAAAAACGATCGTATCCATTAAAAGTTTTCTCGATTTCCGAGAACCGTATTCTAAGGCAAAATAACTACTTTGATTTTTTATTTTACAATGCTCGTTGTCTATAAATTGAGCCGGCACACTTAAGTACAAGTGATTTCACACGCGCATCAAGTATACAGACTTAATACCATCTTAACTTTGATAAATGTATTTATCTATTGAATACCAGTTAGGATGAACAAACACTATTTGAGACTCAAAAATATACCTAACTGGTATTTAAAACAAAACATAATCGCCTTTTTCGTGTGCATAATAAAATATATACAATTTATATGTAATTTAATCAGTTGCTTAAAGTACAATATGTATTTGATTGGTCGAGGTCATCCTTTATAGGAAAACACACCCTTGTGTATCATACACAATTTCAATGCTAATGCTACTGGAAACGTATAACGAATAGAATGTTTTATGCTGAATATTATTACGGTAGAAAATCAAACTGACTTTATAAATAAACTGATCGTTTATAACAAGTATAAGTATATGCGAAACACGCCATCGAATTGATTCTGACTCGATAATTGAATACGGATACAATTGAAGATATGCTGCAATCCGTGTTACTGTCGATAAACGATCAAGCGTGTAAAGCACACAACCTTGTTTATGCAAATCTTCAAAATAGACGGTGAAACCTTTATGCAATTTTCTGTTCTCGATTCTTCGCACTCTATATCATATTCCTGTGCTTTAGATTTGCATTGGTTGCTTTAGGCGTTAAAATATAACACTGTCGTTGACGGTTAAACGCGTTTGCATTCATTTTTCACCACCCAGTTATGAATTCAAAAATGTAAAACAGAAAATATCGTTTTAATATTTCACTTCACAAGCAAAATATAAATTATACGGCTGTTACGGTGAAATCCCATTTTAATAATATTAAGTAAACGTTTAAATGTTACCCGTATTATTTCTGCTAATATTTTGCGGTTTGTGAAAAAAAGTATTATATTTTTTATCGTTGATAATTTTATACCTCATTACTCAGATTTTTTTGCTTTTGTAATAAAAGATATTTTTAGAAAGTCTCACGTATTTGCGTTTTATATTAATATTATATTTGTGCACCATACTGGTTGTTCCGTTTGGACTTAATCAACACATTAATTTAATTAGTAGTACGAAAAAAAATACCCACTTGAAATAATAAAAATAATTATGCATAATTTCAACACATTTTACTTCACTTATCAAAATAATAATATGACGTGTTACGTCTTATACTTTTTTACTAGACAATTTTTCAGTACAAGTAAGACGTGTAATCCAGCTTAAATTATAATAAGGTACTATTTTCTAATAGAAATATTGTTGAGCTAAAATTTAAACATGAACTTTCAAAATGTATTATACAAACATAAAAAAAAACATACCTATTTAGAAATATTAATATTTTCTAAGCGTGTTTTTTCTGAGATTTTTGAGAATATAGTATAAATCTAATATTTATTAAAATCGTTGAAATTAATTCACGTATACACCATAATATACTGGGTGATTGGTTAACTATGGACCAGTCAATAACCTTAAAGATATTAGACTTTTTTAAATTATTTTTTTTTTTATAATTTTATAGTTATTAGTTGGCACAAATTTAATATATTTTTTTAAATTATAACTCCGTCCGTTATATGTTAAAATCTTATAAACTTGAGTTTTATCAATAGTAACGTATATATTTGATTAACTTTTTGAATTAAGAATAATTTGCTGAATATTTTGACTGGTCGATAACCAGTTTTAAATAATTAGCTTCAAAGTTGTTAAAGTTTAAAATTTAGGACGGGAGGAAAGGTTGAGAGCAGACATGTTTTTATCTGCGCGCATTACTCAACTGCCCTTCCCTTCCCGTCATAACTTTTAAAATTGAATAACTTGAAAACTAATTATCCAAAACTGGTTTAGTTCAGCAAATTTTTCTCAATTTAAAAAGTTAATAAAATATATACGTTACTATTTGAAATTCTTAAGTTCATACGGTTTTAACATACAAGGGATAGGGTTATATTTTTCAAAAATATATTAAATATTTCCGAACTATAAAATTATAAAAAAAAAGGCTAATATCTTTTAAGTTATTGACTGGTTCATAGTTAATCACCAGTATACAATAATACCTCTTTTTTTTTTATTTAAAAGATTTAGAAAATTTTAAGTCTTAATATTTCATTTTCTGTAAATATATTGATGTATTATTAGCAAATATTCTTAAAATATTTTAGGAGTATATAATTGCTGTATGGGTAAATTTTAAATGTCCAATATGTTTAATTCAGTACACATGTGACACATTTGAAATTATAATATGTTACTCATATTTAGATGTTTTGATATATGAACACTATTTTGACATAACAAAATAAATTATTATTTTTAAAGAATATTAAAAATACATTTATTGCGATTTAAACTTAAATCAGAACAGAGTTTTTTCAGCACAATATAAACAGTAGTGCGATTATTAAAAAAAAACTTTTAAAAATTTAAGCGTGCATTATTATTTTTCATTATTTATATTGTTTTTGTTATTACCTAGGTCCCAGTTGTCGCCGTACCGTTTTCGCTCGCTTTCGGCTATGACATACCAGATGCAGGCAAACCAGTGTGCGACCAACGTGAACAAAAGCATCAACAGCGTAAGGATCATAGCGCCATATTGGGAATATCTGTCGATCTTCTGCAGAAGTCTCGCTAACCTAAGTAGTCTGGTTAACTTTAATAGGTGAACTTGACCAGAACCGGCCTCCTGAAATAAAAAAATAAAAAAATCATAAAAGTCCACCGTTAAGTATTTAGCCAATATGGATTCTTAAAAAAAATATTTATAATAATTCCTACCTATCATAACTTAGCTGCATTTGGGTATAATACTGTTTAAATAAAAAATATAATAAAGTGATATATATTTTTTTTACATCTTGATAGAGCGTATGTGTATTTTATTTATTTGTTTTGGCGCCCACTTTCGTTGTTTTATACATTTTATAAAAACTTTGTTTATTATACTCTGCTGCTGTATACACACGGATTAAAATCTATATTTTTTTATCTATATTGACATAACATGTCATATTCTTTGTGAAAAATGATTCAAAAATTGGTTTTGCCGTGCACTTTATCTTATGGAGTTAAATGGTTTGAAATCGCTGTTGGCTTATTTCCAGGAAATAAATTGAATTTTTCTTATACATGGATATAAAAATAATAAGAATAATAAAATAAATCGGATACTATCGCAGAGTGTGCTATACTGTGTTACGTTATAGTTAGAATAGACCTATTTAAAATTACATTTTTTATATTGTTTAACACTACTATAAAAATATTAAATACTACATTGTTAAAAATATAATTGATATTTTTCGAATCCGATTTAAAAATCTGTTATCAAAATAGGTAAACTTGCACAAGTTAGTGTTTATGTAAACAGTATGTATTTTAATGCTGATTATTATACTTCTCTGCCAACAAGTTTTATCAAATTACTTTATGATTTCTCTAGAGTTTCAGTGAACTTTAAGTCTGCAGTAATTCTCAACCAGTAAACTATCATACAAACTTTGATGAGCAAACGTCGTATGCCTTAATTGGAAACTAAGCTTAACAACCATTTGTCATTTAATTAAGTATGGTTAAATTGTGTACTAATCTACATAGTATACATTGTTATTTTATCTATTAATAATTATTTGATACTAAAGAAATAACAATTAAAGTAGGCTTTAAAAAAAAAATACTTCTTATATTGATTATCTATGTAATAGAAGAGATAATATAGGTACTGTGAGTTGAGGAAATGAGGAAATGAGACTAAGAGAAACAGAACGGTTGTATCTACCTCATGTCCTCGTCATCGAAATAATCGGGGCAAGTGTAGTTCGCAAATCCAAAATGAGAGGCTATTATAAAAGGAATGAAATAGTATCGATTTACTAGACCAGTTTGGTGGATTGTAAAACGTTAAAAAATAAAACATAAAATACGAGCCGAAAATAAAGTTTACAAAATATTTTATAGTTTATAATATGCTTAATATTGTCACAACTGTTTAAATGTGATATTTAAAAACGGCAAAAAAAAAATCGCTCAGAATCGTTTACACTTCCAGTCGGACGTCAGAGATTATTTAATATTTTTCAAAATTGTTGTTCACCATACCAATGTAATTTGTATGGCACAAATACACATTCAATTCCCTTTGGATAATAACGATAATATTATACATGTAGAGCAGGTACGCGCCGAGCACATAAATTTCAAATTATAATACTAACAAACGGCCTTTACATTTTTCATTTATGAAATTATTTAAAAACCGCCACCGCGTTGTTCAAACCGCATTGAACTTGACTGAAAACTGAGATAAATTTGGTAGCGCTAGGACTTATGGGGATTTTTTGTTTTATCAAAAAAGTGGTATTGAAAATGTTACTTACACCATAAAAACTTATTTTTTCAATTTACTCAATCAAAAAACAACTTTTATCCTTGGGTTTTCAGTCATTTCGATACTGAAATATAAATGAAGGGTTGCGGGGAAAAAAGATCAATGTCAATTTTTTTTGAAATTGAGATTTTGGTATCAAATTATTTGATTTGTATTGATGTATTGTATCTTTTATGCGCTCGAACCAGGGAAAAAAATAGATTAGTCGAGAGTAACGACTGTCTGAAGTTTAGGCATACGGGCAAAATGTATTACGTTTTGAAATTAAAAACATGATTTTCTCAGAATGTTAAAAAATCGACATTGATCTTTTTTCCTCGCAGCCTTTCAAATGTTTGTGCTAATATTTCTCAAAAATCACTTTTTTTTTCAGAAAGCACATTTTGACTTAAGTTATATCACCTATGTGTGCTTTTCAATTTGATAGTTAACGTTTACACTTTTTTACAATGAAGTTATGGCGAATTATAATATTTTATGAGTACTATGAATTTCAATAATTTTTCAGCAACTAATAACAAGTTCAGTTGAGCGTTATTGGTTATAAATTATAACACTCAATTCAATAATAAACTAATAATTATTATTTTCTTTTGAAAAATTAAAATTTCCTAATGTTACTAGGACTGATAAACAGAGGAACAAATTGATTTCTTAGAGGAATTATGGTCTAAAAATTATTTTTTTTTTTATATAAAGAACGGAGGGGGTCTGGAATGAGTTCTATTATTGTAAAATATAATCGATCGAGTAACTTAACGGGGACTTTTCAAGAAAGAACCTTCCCGACATTGAACCGTGTCGCCGGTTGTTTGCTAATCCGTCAGATGGGCGAGTCGGTCGACAATAAAGAGCTGTCGGCTTCGGATTGATTGTTCAATGTTCTTTTGATCACATACGGCCACCAAATAAACTTTTCTCTCTCCATTTGCCCCCAACAAACGATTAGGGCGACACACGGGCAGAAAGTTTCTCGCTCACCTATCTCGTGTCCCGGCTGGGCTACACGGTTGAAATTCTCACGTGTTTGGAAATAAATTGACTGTGAACCGCCACCGCCCGCAGATAGAGTTAAAGGCGAATACCGGATACCGGAAAAAATACGGCCCGGCCAAAAGTTGACAAAGACCGTAAATTTTTCCACCCGCTTTCCGAGTAGGTCTCTCTGCCTTAGCTTTTATATACTCACGCTAAACGGTTCGCCCGCATTCGATATATTACTTTCCACCTTCCGCACCGCCTGCTGCTATTACCGCCACATCTACGCCGAGCATCAGCGCGCACCGACCCCCTTCGCCACCTACTAACCCTGGCGAAGCCGAAAGCAGTCTATATATATATATATATATATGTGTGTGTGTGTACATAATACATATTATACACTTACATTTCCACTGTAAACGTCGGACGCGTACAACAGGTCGAACGGCAGTGCAGCAAATAAATCCACCACGAACCAACTCTTCAAGTAATTGAAAGCGATTGATTTCGAATCGGAAACCACTTCACCCTTTTTGTTTACGAACGTCGTCCGGAAGTTGAACAGGATATCTGGAGGAAAAAAAACAAACAACCTAATCAAACGTACACCATAAACCTTAATGCCACCATACGACGACAATCGTAATTGGTGTTGTACATCAAAACCTGTTGGGGGGGCGTTGGGTATGTACCGTTAATGAAAAAATTCATTAAACCACACTGCGGTTCCATCAAAAACGCGATATTTCAAAAAACACTTTTGTATCAAAGTTATATGATAACGTATAAAAAGTTATATAAATCCAATAAAAGCACAACATTAATATGTTATACTTTCGAAAAGATTGTTGTGCTGTTATAAGCAAATCCATAACTTTAAACAATTCAAACGCGGAAGATAACATATGCGAATATGTTATCTTCCGCGTTTGAATTGTTTAAAATCAAATGAAACTTATCAAAAACATTTTTAAAGTCGTCATCAAAACTTTTTTTATTCGACGATATTAAACTGACATAATAATCCAAGTGTAAATCTTTTCGCCAAGATAAATTACCAAATGCTTACTTTTTTTTTAACTTATCGTCGGTTTTCAGTGTTTTCTAACACATTTAATTTACCAATGGTTAACTTAATTTCTAAGTTCTAACATTTGTTTGATGACTCGATGATTTTGAACAATGGTAAAATTGAGTAACAAAAAAATACTGCAATATAAGAGTACAAAGTAATACTTCCTAGAGAAGAAAATAATTACTATTGTTTGATCAACGTTAATTCATACATTTATTTTTTGCTGTTCTTACTTCTTACCGTGTTAATTTCTACACATTGCAACTCACAAATTATACTAATTTTTACATTTTTATTATGTTTCTGGTTAGGTTTTTCACTGTCCGGCCAATTAGTAATTAGTTAATAAAAATACATTTTAATGAATTTGAAAAAAGAGAGCAGAGTTTGATAATTTACTATCACCGATCATAATAACTACAATAAATATACAACGTTTTCTCTCTATTTGTATGTTTGATAAGTATTATAAACTAAAATTTATTAAGTGCCATACTTAATAAATAATGTTACAGATAAAAACATAACGGGTCAAATAAAATTATATAGAAAATATCATATTTTTCCGGAGATAGTAATTTAATATTTATAATGAAGAGTGGATACTAATTTTGTAAAATGAAACTTTTTATACTTTGAATACATTGTTAAAGCCCACATGTATACCTTCCAATAACTTCCAGGGGAGAAATTTTATGTTATATTTTACGATACTATCAAGTGAAAGAACTGACGGAAAAACCCCTACAGGCAAAACTTTTTTCATTTTTGTTTTCTCTGATGACGTTTCTTAGGTCAGTATAAAATTATTATGTAATCTATATAACGCACGGTTATTGTATACTTTATGTGCAAATAAACGAATAAACGAATATCCGAATGTCAATTATATACTGTGAAGCAATAGTACTAAATAAAACTTACCGTGGAAAGTCAAACTTTAATACTCTGAGGTACTTCAAAAGTACAAACTATTACCATATATTTTTGATAATATATAAATTGTTGTGTTGGAAACGCATTTGTCTAGGATAAGGTATAGAAAAAAAAGCAATATATAATATGAATAAATATTTTTTATATTTTGATGAAAAATGATATTAATTAAGGTACTAAAAAAAATAAAACTGTACAACCAAATGTTATACAATTTTAGAAACATGAACCGAAATTTGTGTTTTTTCAACATTAAGTTGAAACATAAACATACAAATATTTGCTAAAACATTTTTTAAAAATAATTCTCTAAAAATTAAAAATCATCAAAGTCTATACGTCGAACCCGACCTTTGGCAAGCGTTTTATGTTATACACAGTTTGAAATTGTAATATTTTAATAAATGATTTTAATTTAGATTGTCGTTTACACACATTTTGAAGTAATTTAAAAAACAAATTGATATGCCTATATTTAATTAATAACTATAGACACATTATGTAATACAGTATTCATTGGACTATGTCATAGAAATAGTATTTTCAATTTTTGCAGTAAATGAAAACATATGTTTCACTTAAAACCATGACATTACATCATTCTATTTCAATCCAGTGCTAATCGGCTTAAATAATTAACGAGACTTCAAATAATGTCATATACCAAATTATGCCTTTTCTTGCGATAATATCATTATATAATAACCATGTTATTACTTCAAAAAGGGTAAAATTAATTTGTAAAATACATGTCACAGAGTGATCATACTTATTGCGTTCTAAATGAACATAACATTTACTTTGTACGTTAATTATTATTATTAATAATTTATTGATTATGCAATCTGGGGTAATTAAAATTTTAATTTTTTTTTATTAATTTCATGTTTATAATGTAAATGTATACATGTATAAAGCTAAAATCTATATAAAATTGACATCTTGAAATAGTTTAAAGAAGTCGTTTACTAGATTTATATTATTTATAACTAACAACAACAATAACAAACATCAACATTAATATCTAACAAAATATTATATATTTATTCATGTAACAAACTAACAGAATTCAAAAAATGAACGGCAGGAATTCCACATAGAGTTTCAGGTTTAAAGATGTTTTTTTTATTAAAATCATAAATCATCAGCTTAAATTCAGCGTTTCATCTATTATATATGTGTTTATAAATTTACACACGTCACACATAAAAAATGTTGTTTTTCAAATAGCGAATCTATCTCTTTTAAAATTTCAAAAAGCAACTTTTAGCAATCAAACAACTAATTTTATTAATTATTAAAAAAATACAGCCAATACTATTACAATTGTTTTTTACCAAAAGCAAATATCAAACTAATAAACTCATGATCATACATAACATGTTATTTGAAGCCTAACCTAACCCACATGAATTATTTTCAAAGCATCAAACAAGTATTAAACTTAAAATATATTTTTCACCGAATTTTAATAATCCATTTTGAAGTTTTTACGTAACGCTGTGTAGGAGTTTTATCGCATATAGCTTCGTTCACGATACAAACAAATGTTTACAACACCAACACAACTCATTCATTAATTGCGGATTTCATTCCACGCATCAAATAAAATTAACCAAAATCGGTTAATAAACAGTAGATCTATCAAAGAACGACCACTAATATAATAACAAAATATGTATGATGGAATACTTTTCGACGTGTATCGCTTACTCGGCACTTTCGTTTCAAATTTCATGTAGTTTTTCTTTAGATATCATAATACTGTTACATACATAGATACAGTTCCTTTAGACGTATCTACAATATAGGCATAGTAGAAGGTCTGCTTGTACCGCATCTTTTACACCGCCACTTTGCAGAGTGTGTATTAAATACAATATTATATTACTTGCCGATACACCTTATTTGGAAAATTATACAAAACATATTCGACTCGGCACTCGAGACGAAAATATGGAATAATCGTTGACACCCGACTTCGATTGGTGACACGTTTGCACGCCGCTCGTGCTTTTCAAGACGGCCAATTTAAAACGCGGTTCGTTAGTATTTTGTTAGAACAGCATATCGCATTATTCAAATGTAAGTGCAATGATACGGCGAATAAGAGAGAGAGAGAGAAGAATTTGATAAATCGCAGTGAGAAAAAACCGTATCCGTTGAATATTATGTCAATCTAACACAGCTTAGCCATTGAAAACGTCAACGGTCGGCGAGAATGTTTTTTTATTGATGCTATAAAAAATGAATTAAGGCAGGCCGGATGGAAAAAAGAATGACACGATGATGATATGTTGATGTACTTGACGGTAAATGGCTTTCGTGTTACGCCTGACTTTTATTGCTGTTCCTTTTGCCGGCAAAACAGCATAGCCGTCTTTTTCAACAGTTGTGTAGTATAATATAATGATTAATGACCGCTGAACGCACATGGTTATTTAACTGCTAGTCAAAAAGAATATTTAACCAAATATTCTTCAGTTTTCATGTTGTCGCTTAAAAATCCATCTTATATTTTTTTATATGAAATGTTTTTTATCCGAATTTACCGTCCAAAATTAGGCGTTTAAGTTTATTTTCACGTTTGTTAGATTTTCAGATTAGATGCATATCACATGAGGTGTTGGTTTTACAATTACGAGTTTTTTATGACACTTTGAGAGATATTTATAGAAACTTTGGAAAACTAACAGTTTGAATTGACTACCAGCGATCAATTCTTTTGAAGATCCAAAATATTGCAGTTGCTTACTCATTTTGATTATCACAAACTATGCAAAAAAACCTCAAAAAAGTCCGTTATGACCTTATCTACTAATGATGTACAACTTAGTAAATGGTGGTCGCGCAAAGCATAGATAATGAGATAAAATAATTAAGAACTCATTAAAAATGAATAAAACATTTTTTATTTGCATCCAGTTTATAAAAACTACACATAATATGTGTTATATCTGTACACTTTAACATATAAATATATTTGGTATGACAGTCTGTAATTTAACTAAGTATTTAAGACTATTTTAAGAGTATTTTAACTAGGTATTTAAGACGAAAAATTATCACTTTCAAGAAAATATATTAGTTTTTAAATAGTTACGGTACTCTGTTGTAATAGTTTGTAACGAAAATATGAAAATTGCAATCAACAATTTTTACAATTTTTTAGAACAGAAAAATGTAGTAAGGTTTTTTTACATATTCCTTTGTCGATTATTTGTGTAGGTATTCACGATCACAGAAACCACATACAACAGGAGCATTTACGCCAAATATACCAGATATATTTAAGTTACTTGTATATATATATATAAATATAAAATACTTTTTTTTTCAAACTGTTTATCTGTGCAACCCTAACAATAATCGTTTTAACGAATTGTTTTTTTTAAAAAAATAATGGTTATTCAATAAACACAAGTTAAAAACTGGGCCCACGCGAGCAACAGGAAAAAATACTGATAAAACATAATTTATTAAGGTCGGGATGTCACCTTTAGGCCGTGTATTATTGTTACTACTACCTTTTGCAATGGGTTTTTTTTTAAATTTACTG